ATATATATCGATATAAATAAATATATTATTTTTATTTTATTTGCAATATATTGGTCAACTCAAACATTATTGAAAAGAAATAATGTGATATATTACATATAAAAAGATTAACAAATAAAAATATGAAGTATCTCAAAATTAAAAAATTTAATGAGAGAAAGTAATTAAATTTTTAATTAAAAAGTTTTAAGATTAACATACCCAATTTTAAAGAAATGTATACCTAAAAGTTCTAGTTAAAATATATGTGTATCTTAAGTATGTTTTATATTTCTCATTAGCCAGCTCTAATTGATATTGTACATTAAGTAATTTTATCAGTATTTTTACTCTTTGATTTAATGAGAGCTATAAGTTTTCTCATCATTCTTACCCCTTATTTAGTTATTATAATACTAATAAAATAATTAAGGACCTTTCAAAGTATCTTGTTTGTTTTGAAACAAAAATTACTTATTATCATAAATTAAACGACAATTACATTGAATGTGTTATATTTTCTATCATATCAAAATTTTCATAATAATAGTTGCACATAATATTATATAATAATGCAATTTGTTTTATAGTTTGGAGTCCTACTTTTACTACAAGAAAATGAAAAAATTCCAACAAAAATTACAACAAGAATATAACGATCTTCTTAAGTGGAATTGAGAAAAATCATGTCTTTTGGTTTCTTAAATATATTTTATCTTATTGTGATTGTATTGATTTATTAAAATGTATTACAAAATGAGAAAGGTGATATATTAATTTATAAATTACAATGACATGTTATTTTGATGGTATATTTTTTCTATTAACTAAATAATGTCCCCAATATGAATTATTTTAGATCTATCACTGCAATTAGCTTTCCAATGTAATTTCCATTGAATTTTTGCACAATTCCAATGACAGTTTTTCCAACGATTGAAATATGGTAAAAAAAAAAGTTCAATGGAAATTCAAGTAATTGAAATCTTTAAATCCACTAAAGTTCAAGTAATTTAATTTGAACTTTGTTGGAATAGCCAATGAAATTTTTCAATAAAAGCAATATTTATGAAATATTCGTTGGAATTTTCTGTAGGTTACCTTACCGTTGATTTTTTCATTGCAATATAGCAATTTGTTGTAGTCCTCTTAAACATTAATTTTTTATGTAGTATTTATTGATTAATTGTGTTTACAATTTTTCTATTAAAAATATATTAAACACATGAACTTTTTAGTTCCTATATATTTTTTTTTTTCAGAAATTACTCATTATTTTATCTCAAGATTACCTATTGATTTACCAATTGAGTTACATTTCTTACATATTAAATATTTAAAAATTAGAATATTTCCTATTTTATATGTTCAATATGATATTTATATATTATATTAAAAAAAACTAATATAGCAAATAAAAAGTTATTTAAAATTAGAATAATAAAGATTTTTTTTTTGGTAACTTACATGAATAAATGTACAAATAACTATTGTCTATCACATCAAATTTACACATAAAATTATAAGGAGAAAAAACTAACAAGCGTTTAACAACTCAGCTTGTTTACGTCGATAAATATATTTATAAAAGGTTTATATTTCTTCTATTAATTATAACATTTTTATTTATTACTTTGTTTCATATTTATTAGTACGTGTCACAACTTATTTATTTTTAATATTATTTATCATATTTAATATTTTTTTTAAACTTTTATCTTGTTCTTTTACATGTTCTTAACTGTAGATTTGTCAAAAAATGCATGATATAAAGTCTAGAATTGTTTCGACCATCTGTCTCATTATATATCAATTATTTGTATATCTTATATTATATTATATTTAATTACAATTTTTTTAATTTATACTACAATTAAATATTTATAACTCATAAACTCATCAATAATATTGTTGAGTCAACTTTTGTTCATAAAATTTTAAAAAACATAATTATTTTCAATTATATGCTTATGTCAAATTGAGAAAAGTTATTTTTTTTAATTGATTGATGTGTAACATATATTATAGATGAGAAAGATGACAAATTATTAAAAATATAATTTATAAATTATAATGACATTATGTTATTTTACTGGTATACCTTTTCTATTAACTAAATAATGCCTCAAGTATGAAATTATTTTGTATCCACCACTGCAGGTAGATTTCGAATAGAACTTCCATTGAAATTCTTACATTTCCAGTGACATTTTTTCCAACTGATAAAAAATGACCCGAAAAAAATTCAAACAGAAATTCACACAATAACAAATAATGATAACTGGATTAACTAAATCCACTGAAATTTGAATATAATGTAATTTGATCTCGGAATAGTCAATGAAATTTTACAATGACAGCTATACGAATAAAATATCATTTGGGATTTTCAGTGGATGTCTTACCGTCGGATTTTTCATTGCAATGTACTATTTTTTTATTCCTTTATAAATTATATTTTTTATGTAGAAGTTTTTGTTATTAATTAGATGTATTTATAATTTTTCTATTAAAAATATATTAAACACATGAACTTTTTAATCCATATATTTTTTAGAAATCGCTCATTATCGCAAGACTTCCTATTAACTTATCAATTGAGTTACATTTCTTGCACATTAAATATCAAATAATAAAAAGTATTATTGTATATATATAATATGGTATTTATATATTATATTAAAAAAATAATAGCAAATAAAACATTATTTAAAATCAAAATTATCAAAGTTTATTTAAAAAAATAAAAATAAATTTCTAACCTACATGGATAAAGTATAAATAACTATTGTCTATCGTCTAAATTTTATACATTGAACTAATAAGCGCAAAAATTTAACATGTGGTGAACAATTTGGCTCATTTACATCGATAAATACAAATTTAAAAGTTCTACAAATACTTTTACTAATTATAATATTTTTATTTATTACTTTTTTTCATAGTTATAAGTAAGTATTACAACTTAGTTATAAATTTAATATTATTTATTAGATTTATTGTTTTTTTAACTTTAAACTGTTCTTTCAAATGTATTTTAATATATATATATATATATGTGTGTGTGTGTGTGTGTGTGTGTGTGTGTGTATAACTTTTAGGTTTTTTAAAAGATACATAAAATTAAAGTATAGCACTTTTTTGAATCATATGTCTTATTTATATCAATTAATTTTATATCTTTATATTATATTATATATAATTATAATCTTCTCATTTATACTCAAATATATAAATTTCTTATTTCGTACATTTTTTTCTTAAAAACCATTTTATTATAATAACACATATTAATAGATAGATGAGTAATGATAATATATGAATATAATTATTTGATTAAAATAATTAATTTTCAACATGTAAATTATATTATGATTCTCGAGATATTTTTAATTTATTTGTAGATAATTATATGGTTAAAATTAATTCATGTTGCTAAAGTGGTATCTCATTTAACGTGAAAACAAATAAATTAAGTTTTAGTATTATACAATTTCATAAAATTGTTCTGGTCTTATGTATCGAAGAAATTGAATTTATTAGAAGTTTAGGTTGCAGAACAATCATTCAACAATTAATCTCGCATACTATTACACATTTTGTATAGGCTATTTTGAAAATAATGTTTCTATACTTTGTGGTCGTTATGAGAAAAAAACAATATCGATTTTTAGTTTTATAAGTGTTTATTATGCTTTTTTTGTTGGATCAATTTTAATTTCTTTAAGGAACTTTTATATATTAGAGTTATGAAATGTGATTACAATATTACTATTAAAATTATATTAAAAATAATGACGTTTTTCAAAACAACAATTCTATATCCTATCAAACAGTTTTAGAGATATGTGGAAGAAAACAAATTCGTGAGAAATAATGGTGCCAAACCAACATACTGTAGTTGATTTTAGGAGTGTGGAATGATATGTTCGTGTATTTTTATTTAATTAATTAAATATTAGTTATAATTAAAAATATAAGATGGACATTAATATATTACTAATTTGCCATTTAAAACATGTCAAAGTAAGGGCTAATTAGGTAATTCATTTTAATATTTAAAAATATAAAATATGATGTGTATTAGTGTATTACTAATTTGCCATTAAAAATATGCCAAAGTAAGGGTTTTTTAGGTAGTTCATATTTTTACAAAAACACTCGTCCTTTTAGAGTAGTATAGATATAGAATAGATATAGATATAGATATAGATATAGATAGATAGATAGATAGATAGATAGATATAGATAGATAGATAGATAGATAGATATAGATATAGATATAGATAGATAGATAGATATAGATATAGAAGAAGAATAGATATAGATAGATAGATAGATATAGATATAGAAGAAGAATAGATATAGATAGAATAAAAAAATGAAAAGAAACATATGCTTATATAATTTAATAAATTTATGTGTAGAACATTTGTTGAAATTCATATAACATCTTTATGAATTTTAATTCATATATTTGATGCTAAATTAAGAATAAACATGCATGTGGATAAATTATTTCTCCAAAAGTCGTTTATAAAAATAGAAAATATGTCATTAAAACAATTATTAACTTTTTATAAAAGTGCATGATTTCAAACCGCCGCTAGATTATTAGATCACCACAGAGACCACAAAACATTTGTGTTCGACTCGAGTACCATATATAGATTGTGAAAAAACTGTAAATAGAGTTCTCATGATCATATCATCATTTAATCCAGTTATCCTCATCAACTTATCGATGACTTTTACTGCGATCCACCATCATAAGTTAACTTAAACACCATGATTTTAATCATATTATGGAGATGAGGGCCGTAGTAATATATATAGTGCAGTTTTGGTTTAGCCGTTTAGGTTAATTTAAATAAATTTTGGTTTAATTATTTTGAAGCAAAAATAAAAAAGGAAAATAATCGAATTTATATGTGCATTAAAAGTAAAAGGTAGCCGCCAGGAGGCGGTCAAACACACAATATTTGACCATTGAAATCCAATTTCCACGGTCAAACACACAGATATATTTTTTTTTTTTAAATAAATAAATGATTCCTCCTTGTTGCCCTTCCGCCATTTATTAAACTCATCATCTTATATATTTGGTTATTTTATCATATATTTTTCCCTTTACATCCCAAAGGCTCTCAAAAAAAAAAGCATGGCTTCTTCATCAGGTGGCAACACCCAAAACAAAAAAATGGAAATCCCAAAGTACAAATCCTTTTCGCCGGCTCCGGTTTCTCCTTCCTCGTACCTTTCGATTCCTCCCACTTTGAGCCCTTCTCTTCTCCTCGATTCTCCCGTTCGTTTTTCTTCGTCTAATGTAAGTTCATCTTCGTGTCTTAATGATCACCAATCATTTCACGGTCGTTTTTGATTATATTTTTATTAATTAATATCGTTGGTGTGTAGGTTTTTCCATCACCAACGACGGGTACATTTGCCGAGCTGTCGGATGGGGAGAGGAAGTTTTCCGATTTCTCATTTCAATCGTCCCAAACACGGCCTAATTCCAACTCCTCGTCCTCCATGTTCCCGAATTCAATGGTGTGTACGTATATCTATTACATTCGTGCTTTGATGATGATATATAGTTAGTACTTAATTTGAACAATTTGTTTGTTTGTCTGAATTTCATCTAGTTCATATGAGTTGACTTTCGGAATAAAGTCCAAGTCTCACTTATGAGTTATGACGTGTATTACTATTTCGTAATCATTTGTTGGTGTTTTATTTTAGGGAGCGGCTATAGTACCGTTGGGTACCGTGCCGTTACTTTAATATGAGTCATTGGATGGTGATAGTTATTACTAGCCATTAGATTTTATGAAGACGCACGTTCGCAACATGTACAATATTGTAGACAATAGTTTTACTAATTAGTTAATAATAAATATATTTGAGTTAGTGGACTTACAAACTGGTAAGTATCTAATTTTTTTAATAAGTTAAGAGAAGAACGCATAGAATTCTGTGCATTTCATGATCATTATATATTCTTTTCATAAATTAATTCCTAATTCCTTAGCATCAACAAATAGATTATAAATAAATTTAGAATGTTGAATTTATGCATAGAAAATTTTTATTTTGTCATATTGATGCGAGTTTTTATCTATAAATAATTAATAAAAAAAGAAAAACAATTTCTTTTTTTAATATCGAATCACAAAAACATACAAAAATATAAATGAGAAGCTTCAAAATTTGTCTTTGTTATCTATCTATATCTATAAAAAAGTTAGAATGTATATGAAATATAACTAAAATCCTGCCTAAACTTTTTAAAATATAAATAATAATAAGAAAATAAACACAATTTCTAGTGCATACAAAAATATAAATGGGAAGCTTCAAAGTCTGTATCTCTGTTATCTATCTATATTTATAAAATGGTTTGTATTTACTGAAATCACTGTTATAAATAGTTCGCTATACCTCACTATATTGTTTTTTTGTATTTTTTTTTCTTTCAAAAAACGCGCTGTAACTTTATATATTTAGCGTTTTCTCTAAGAAGCTTATGCGAAATGTGAAATAGCATGCTTTTTTGCACTAAATTCCGCTATATTTCTGCAATGACATTTAAACAATAAAATATTCAAAAGACTTGTATTTTTTAGGGGTTAGAGTTATATTATTAAATGACTAAAAACTAAAAATTTTGGTGATGATTTCAAATAAAAAGTTTGAAAATGCAAATTTCTAAGTTGAATAGTGCAATATATATCGGTCTAGGTCTGTTATATCATTATATTTTTGGGTACTAGACATTTAAATTTAAGAATAAAAAGTTCAGATCTAGGGGTTAGAATTAAATTGTAATCAAATTAAAAAAATTAGTTACAATGTATATGCTTAAAATTAAATTATGGCTTATCTTATTATATTTTCGTTGTTTGTTTTTTATTTTTAGTATATTCGTTTTGTTATTTGAATATTTATATTATGATATTTATATTAAACATTTGTAAGAAATAATTCTTAGATGTTATTTTAAGCTTATTCAAATATTATGATAATTTTTTGAATCAACCATCCAAGTTTTATTATATGCAAGTATATATATAATATTTCTATAACAATAACTTTTTATACTCAAATAGCTTGCGTAACACGCAACGCTATTTACGGTACACAATATCAAGACCAAAACGCGAAGAATTACGCTATACGCGTTTTAAAATATTTTCTGAAATATAAACTAAAATCATGTCTAATTTTTTTCAAATAACTAAACTTGGTAATTATTACTATTTTTTTTTTTTTTTAAATTTTCAAAAAAATCCTGCCTCTTGAAATTAATTAATCAATTTATGGTATAAAATTGGAAAAATTAATATATTCGGTGTTGGTATAAAGTGGGCAATTTTATTTGAGTTATCATATGGCCATTTTCATTTTTGGTAGGAAATGTACCATTAATAAATATCCAAATTTATGGTATAATGTGAGCGATTTTATTTCTTTTATGAAATGACCGAATTTAAATGGTATTGATAGAAGCGTATTTGGAATCTTTTGAAATAAGTGGTATGATTATTGTTTGGTAAGAGTATGAAAGTTGAATTTTAGGTTGATTTGTTATAAATCAAGGTGATATGATTCTCAATTTAGCATATTCCCACAATAACTTACCATAAGATATTGATAATAATTTGAAAATTGGTATGTATTATTTTGGAAATCAAAAAGATCTTTGAACAAATATTGGTTAATAAAATTTAAACTTTGTAATTTAATTATAGAGAATTAGATGATAAGTTTGAACAATAAGGTAACCGACAACAAATCTAAAAAATTGTGAAATAGTATATATATATATATAAGGGGATTTATTGCGTAGTCAAAATTTAGGTTCCAAATATAAAAGTCAAATAAGTAATTATTCATAACTTATAGGTCAATATTAACTTGGACGTAAACGTAATAGTCAAGTATTTATAATCTAATAAATTACTAAACTACTTAAATTTTTTTGATTTGGATAGTTTATAAAAAAATTCATTTCAAGTATTATTCACTATATTTTTAAATATACGATACATTTTTACCAAAATAATTATTAAACTGATTATTTCGTTCTTAGTTTGGTTTAGGAAAAAATCGTTAAAAACTAACTGCACTGCGAGTGCACATTAATGTTAATAAATGTCCGAATTTATAGGATAATGTGAGCGATTTTACTATGAAATGACCGAATTTAATTAATGGTATAGATAGAAGTGTATTTGGAATTTTTGAAAACAAAATAAGTGGTAAGATTATTATTTGATAAGAGTATGAAAGTAGAATTTTAGGTTGATTTGTTATAAAATCAAGGTGATATGATTCTCAAATTTTATCATATTGCCACAATAACTTACCATAAGATATTGATGATAATTTGAAAAATTGCTATCTATTCTTCTTGAAAATCTAAAAGATCTTCAAACAAATATTGGTTAATAAAATTTAAAGTTTGTAATTTAACTATAGAAAATTAATTGATGAATTTGAACAATAAGGTAGCCAATCACAAATCTGAAATTGCGAAGTAAGATTTATATATATAAGGGGAAATATATATATATGTATATATATGAAATATATAAGGAGATTTATTGCAATTCACTAAAATATAAAATTTCTTTAGTTCACTAAAATATATCATTATTAAAATTCGAAACTAGTAAAAGCACTAAAACATATTATTGTTGAAAGTTAATCATCCTTAAGTTTGCTCAACTCACTAACTTATTGAATAATAAAAATTAATAAGATATGGGCAATTATTTCTAGAAAACAACTTTTCACAAATAAATTGTACTAAAAGTACTCTTTTTTATTTATATTATATCATAAATAAAAAATACTTTATTTTTTATTTTAATTAATTCATTCACTATTTATATAAATTATTTGATATTAGCATTGTTTAATTTATTACAATACATGATGATTGATATCATGAATAAACGAACATCAACAATTTCACAGGGAAGTATAAGGTGTGTGAAAGTCCATAATAAATCATTGAGGTGGCTGAAGTCTATTGGCTTACAATCAACGGTATAGTTCCGTGAAAATGAGGAACGGGACTTAAGACTTTTCCTTTATTTTATGCCCCTCCAGTCAACGGTTTGTTAGCTGTTAAAAGTCTCTCTACTTTGTAAGAAACCATGCATAAGACAATTAGGGGCTAATTATAAAAACTAATTGAGTTTTAATTTTAATATATCATAATCTAAATATTAAATAAAAAAAAAAAAGATCAAAACTGCTGTCTTCCAAATTTATGAATAATTTACTGAAGCTTTTGTTTCTATCTAACGACCTCGTCATGTATGTGCAGTTTTTAAAATTTTTTAAAAAATATATTGAAATGAATGTTGTAAGAAAATCATTGTGAAATTTAATTATTTCTGAAGATATATATGCCCTAAAGTTAGTTATGCAAGCCTCATTAGATTTCATGATAGGCATGTAAAAACAGTTGACATTAGTCAGACAATATACCAGTCTTCTTTGATTTATGATCATGCTTGCCCAATCTAACTAACAATTTTAATAATATATTTATAAACTACGAGCAAATGTCTAAACTTATTCAATGGATCGATCATAAACGGTTTAAACTTATCAAATTACACTAACAGCAGCTCACAAAGACACCGATCTCAAACTCAAACAATTATTTCACTGCATTTGTTTCTTATCCTTCATTGTTGTAACAGAACCCCTTGGCTCAGAAACAAAAAAGCGGGACATTCAACCCGTTCAGTACAACCGGGTCAAAGCTCGAATCGAGTCCAGCACAAAGTTTCTGTACATCACATACCGATAACAATAATTACAATAATAGTAATAATAATAAGAATAATAACAATTCAGCCCCATCATCAAACTACATCAAAGAGCAGAGAAAATCAGACGACGGATACAACTGGAGAAAATACGGACAGAAGCAAGTCAAAGGGAGCGAAAATCCACGTAGCTATTACAAATGCACTTTCCCAAACTGCCCCACTAAGAAAAAAGTCGAACGCAACTTGGATGGGCACATAACCGAGATCGTGTACAAAGGGAGCCACAATCATCCCAAGCCCCAGTCGACCCGGAGGTCATCTTCCAACTACAACGATTTGTTGCCAATGGCAAACGATTCGAACTCACAACAGGCAGACTCTGTCACTGTCACCACACCGGATAATTCCTCCACCTCGTTTGGGGACGATGATTTCGAACAGGGCTCGTCGATGCACGATCAAGAGAACAAACCCGACGTCAAGAGATGGTGAGGACTTTTCGAATTAATCAACACACTAATCGAGTTAATGTCTTTTAACTATCATAATTAATTGTGTCTTAGGAAAGGGGAAAATATCGAGAATGAAGGGTTGTTGGCTTCCGGAAGTAGAACTGTCCGGGAGCCCAGAATCGTTGTTCAGACAACAAGCGACATAGACATTCTCGATGATGGCTACCGGTGGAGGAAGTATGGACAAAAAGTGGTCAAGGGCAACCCAAATCCTAGGTATATCATTTCATCATTTGTTGTTCTTTTTTTTTTTTTTTTGTGCAGTTTTAGGCTATGTTTGGTAAAACTAGCTCATAGCCGATAAGCTAGCTTATAGCTTAAAAGTGATTTTCGAGCTAGGCTATGTTTGGTAAAACTAGCTGAAACTAGCTTATAGCTTATAAGTGATTTTTGAGCTTATAGTTTATAGTTTATGATTTATAGCTGAAAAACTAGCTTATATGATAAAAGTGTTTGGTAAAATTAGTTGAAATAAAAAATTCAACGAGCTTATTTGAAGAGCTACCCAAATAATCTTATGAGATAAGCTCGAGCTTTTTAAAAAAGCTCGTCCTGCCAAACAAAGTTACAGGAAGCTTATAAGCTAACTAAATAAGCTATAAGCCAGCATATTTGGTTACCAAACATAGCCTTAAAAGAAACTGGGAAAACATTAAATCTCATCTATTTTCTGCAATATACTTACAGGAGCTACTACAAGTGTACATTCAACGGCTGTCAGGTCAGAAAGCACGTGGAGCGATCGTCCCACGACTTAAGGGCAGTGATCACTACATACGAAGGGAAACACAATCATGATGTTCCAGCAGCTAGAGGCAGCGGAGGTTACAACATGAACAGACCACCGTTTCAAAATGCCCCTCCTTCAACGGCTATAAGACCTTCTGTTATAAGTGGCCCTTCGAACGGGATGAACTTTCCCAACCACAACAACAGGCTACAAAGTATACAAAACCAAACACCTTATACTCTTCAGGTGCTGCAGGATGTGAATAATTTTGCATTTTCAGCTTATGGGAACTCCTTCAATCAGATGCACCGGCAGGAAGAGAATAATACGTCTGCCATGGCTAAGGAAGAACCTAAAGATGACTCCTTTTTCGACTCTTTCCTAAACTGAAATGAAAAGATTTTTTTCTCCTTTGGTACTTAGCTAGGTTTGTGCTGATGACAGTAATTTGTGATGGGATCTGCAATTTGTGATGTATAAGTAGGAAAGTTGTAGGGAACATATTTTCATTGGTTTTGGAGCCGTCAGAGGTTAGAAAGTGGCTCAATACATAGGTTCAGTGTGAAGGGAGAAAATAAAACAAAAAAAAAGAATAAAAGTGTGTTAGGGAGGATATATTCAGTTGTATTCTTCTCTAAACATTTCTTACTCTGTTGATTTTAAGAGATATTCCTTCCCTCTCAATTCCAAAATTTGGTTGTCTATCATCATCTGCTTTTAACACCAAAAGAGGTTTCTACTATGTTTTGAGTAAATATATAAAGTCTTAGATTGAACAAAAATCGTGAACATGCCAACACTGTTGACTCTTAAGGCCCATCATGTAATAAGTACACATAAATTTCACACATAATTTGATGCAAATAGCTATACACACCTCAAGTGTACAAAGTGTTAAACAAATAAAATAGAGATGGGCAGAGAAAGGATTCATTTCATTCACGAGTAAAATTTTTACTGTCTGGAAAATTTCTCTTTTGTGAGTCCTTCACTTCACAACTACACATACATTTACCAACATATACAATCACCGAGAAAATCAAATGCCAGCTCAGTATCAAGTAAAAAACATTAAATTCACAAGCAAAAAACGCACATTTACGGATGATAATGCTAAAACAGAGAGAAAACAATCAGCCAAGGGTAACCATTTTTGACACGAGAGCTGATCAAATGTACGTTTGATGCGAGAGTTTGTATCCTGAAATAAGAGCCGACAAACCCAATGAGAGGAACGCGAAAAATGCCATGCTTATTGCCGAAGCTGATGCATCCGTAAATATGTTATCTGCGCCTTCTCGCATTCTGTTCGTCAGAGGTACTGCTGATGAAGCAGCTGATATCAGCAAGTATGCCACAATCTGCAGTAAGCCAGAAAAATCAACATAATACCTTTTTTTCTATATATATATATTAAACTAACTTTTGAATCATTCAAAGCTGAATTTCACCATGAAATTTACGACAATTCTGAAGATGATATTTGCAATAAAAATCCACCATTGAATTAAATTAAATCAAGCAATGAAGAACCTGATCGCCGAAAAAGTCAATCAACCCCACATACGGCCGGGAGACCACCTCTCTACCAGTCGAAAGTTCATAAACCTGCCGGAAAGCTTGAAATCCGGTGTACAGCGTCGATAAAATTGCTATCGCAACCACATACCTTAAAAAAAATAAAAATTATAGTAATCACAATCACTATCGCCCAAATAAAAACAATACAAGAAATTAAATCGACAAAAATATTTAAACTTACTTGTATTCTTCATATTTATCGAACTCTCTCCAATCGCCATGCTTGTTGCTGACCATTATAACGAAAGCCAGCAGCGAGAAAACCAAGCCGATGCAGCGTAGAGCCAAGGAGCTCCTCTTGAGAAGATCCTCCCTCTGCCACCGCTGCACGATGTTGGATACTCCACCGCCGCCCACCTCCGTCGTCTGATTCTCCAAATCTCCTCCCTCTGCTACCGCCGCCGGTGGCGTCACATTCTCCGGATTGGACTCGTCGGGCTTTGACATGGGATTGTAATTTTAAGGGGAAAATTAAGATGCAGAACTTTTCGATGGAAATAAATATATAAAATGTGTTGTTTGTAATTTGTATAGCATATAAGATTCCTTCGCCTTGTTTTCTCCGTGTAGCTTGCTGTTTAAATTTCACAAAAAATCCGAAATTTGTGCGCAAGAACATAACTTTGTTTGTTCACAAATCACAAACACAGGCACAGCTTCTCTTATTTATTTATTTTTTATTTTTGTTTTTATGATTACAGATATCTCAAATAATTGACTTAGATTAAACAAATGGTAATAACATTAATTTTGTCATAAAATCGGTCAACGGCGTCCGTGGCAGTATGTATTGTTCCTTCACAATATGCGAAGAATACTACTTAGAGCATCTTTAACTATAAATTTTCCTAAACCTCTTTTTACACTTTTTAAGTGCCACATCATTCAAAATCTCATTCTTATTTACACTCAAAACCTCCAATAATAATAAACTCATAAACATTTATTTTATTTTATGGGTCTCACATGTTTCTCACTACATTTAATTAATATTATACTTTTATCTTTATCCTGGTGCTGCATAGACCGGTGTTGCTGATCGAACTCATTTTCTTTCGAGGAGATCGGACGATTTACTCCTCTTTCTGGAAGCATCAACTGATCAGGTCTATACACTGAAGCATATTTTTATTAATATTTTAAAATTATAACTCTATTTTATTTTAATTCAATCTAAATATCTCATATATTTATCATAAATACATATAAAAAATTTAATATAAATTTTATAATTTTATATATTTATTCAATCTAAATATTTCATATATTTACATATAAATTTTGTAATTTAATTTTTCAGTTATTAACGTATTATTAGGATAAAATTTAAATTTGTTTAAAAGAATTTAAGAGAAATTAAAAACCTTCAAAAGAAAGAAAATGAAAAAGATTGTAGAAAAGGAATAGATTGTAGAAAATAATTTTAAATGAATTAATGAATTATTAAAAAATAACAACTAAATTAGAAATAAATTTTAAAGATTAAAGTAAAGTAAATAAAGAAAAGAGAACATTTTTTTTAAAACATAGTGTACCTCACAAATTTCGAAAGTGACAAAAAAACAAAATAAAAAGATCTGAATTGCTAAATACCGCACCCATTTTACTAATACCGCACCCTAAAATGATAATTTTGCCCTTTATTTTTATTTTTTTTTAAAAAAAATGTCCCACCTTCTAACCTCTTTATCGGTCGAACCGAGCACCGAAAAATTCCGAAAATACCTCCAAATAATTCCGGCGAAAAAATGCTATCCAACAAGACCGATCATCCGGCGGTCGACCGGTCAAACCGGCCGGTCAAACCGGCCGCACTGGAACAAAAAATTTAAATTTTTTTTTTTTTTTTTTTTTGGAAATANTTATTATTGTGTTTGTAATCCATGTGGGATTGTCTCAAAACTTCTTTTTTGCTTTCAAAATCAATGTGGGACTAAATGATCCATGCTTTAACACACTTTCACTATGTATGTCAAGATGAATATCACATTATCATTAATTAAACTTATTATTATCTTAAACAGATAAACGATTAAATTTAACTAAATGAACATGAAAATTGTAATATATTTTAATATATACCATAATAATTTATAACTTCTAACATAATAGTAATAAATTCTAATTTATAACATAATCAATTCTAATCTATAATACAATAATTTCTAACCTCTAACAAAATAATAATAAATTCTATTTGCATTTCTAACTATTTGTACATATAAATTAATTTGTATTTTGTTTTAAATTTTCGTGGTTTTTAATTTTTTTAATTAAAAAATGTTGAAATATAAAAAATATATTTATTCAATCTAAATATTTCATATATTTACATATAAATTTTGTAATTTAATTTTTCAGTTATTAACGTATTATTAGGATAAAATTTAAATTTGTTTAAAAGAATTTAAGAGAAATTAAAAACCTTCAAAAGAAAGAAAATGAAAAAGATTGTAGAAAATGAATAGATTGTAGAAAATAATTTTAAATGAATTAATGAATTATTAAAAAATAACAACTAAATTAGAAATAAATTTTAATGATTAAAGTAAAATAAATAAAGAAAAGAGAACATTTTTTTTAAAACATAGTGTACCTCACAAATTTCGAAAGTGACAAAAAAACAAAATAAAAAGATTGCACATGGGCGTTCACTAGTGGGCCATAGTCTCTCCACTCCATTTTTAGCAATTGGACTACACTTGCCCAAATATTAAGCGTGTGGATGAAACTGTGAACCCCACTTTCTTATTTTCAATCCATTATGTATTTTTTAAATTTTAATTTTAAGCAGTGTTCTAAAAGTCGCTAGGCGCCCGCTAGGCGCTCGACCAATGCCTAGCGCCTAGAGCGCCTAGTCGGGGCCTAGGCGGCGCCTAGTCGGGGCCCAGAAATCAATAGTAAATACCTTATTTTTTATTTATTTTAACTACCTACAAAATAAGATTATCTTAACATATAATAAATTCACACACCAAAATCCAAATAATAATATTAATATATATTAAAGAAAACATGAGAACAAAATAATGTAATTAGTATTTAAAAAAATAAAAAAAAGTTAAAAAAAATTGAAAAATTACCGCCGAGCCCGCCTAGGAGCACCTAAGTCCGCCTACGCCCGCCTAGACGCCGCCTAACCGCCTGGCCGCCGAGCCCGCCAAGGCCGCCTAGGAGCGCCTAGGCGCCGCCTAGCCGCCTGGCCGATTTTTTCTGTCGATTTGTACAAGTCGGAGGCGCCCGGGCACCGCCTAGCGCCTAGGCCGATTTTTAGAACAGTGATTTTAAGAGGTTTGAGGGAGGTTTGTAGAACTAAACCTCAAACCTCTCCTCTCTAATAGCAAAACATAAGGTTTGTGTTTTTTAAACTCATCCAAAAGCTATTGTTAAAGATGCTCTTGTGAACAGTAGTTTTATATCCTCTGATTAGAAATTGTATATGCGCGCAGGAACAATTTTACTCTTTAACTCATTTCATTTTTTATTTGGATCAATGAAAGAGCAATTGACAAAATATTGGCCAAGTGAACCGAAAAATACAATGAGACGTCACTTGAGGAGAAATGAGATCATCTCCCTCTCCTGACCAAGAATCTAATCAGTATATCACTAGACTCAATAATGAACAAAGGAATAATTTATTCTATTTTTTATATCTTGAAGAAATGGTTTTTGTTCTTTAATCTTATGAGTATGAACATTATTATAGTATTTGGTTGCTTTTATTATGATTTGTTTGCTTTAGCTTACTATAGTGATGCTTATACTTATTTTTCAATTGAAAAATGAGACATTAGTTTATAAATTTTGTTACTTTTACCAATTACTTCCTACATTGATTTTTTTTTTCGATTACTTTCTATATCGATTATATTATAAATTAATGTAAAAATGTGATTTTTTTTTTTCCTTTTCACATTTTATTTTACATTACATTATTTGAAAACCGATGTATGATGTCCAATCTTCTTACATCCAAGCTTACTTTTGTCATCGTGCTAATAAACACAGTTAGTGCATGCAATTCATGTACTTTTGCTACAATTGGTGCATGCTTTGAACAAAGTACATGCTTTTAGAAATCATAGAAGAAGAACAACATAATTAAGAAGCAATGATACCATTGCACTAATTTTCTAAGTCAAATAAATACTCGAGTAATATGATATATCACCTTGAATAGGCTACAAATCAAGTTCAGGCTTTTAATAGTCTTTTAATTAGCTCTCAGTATCCTACACTAGTACCTATCCCGTATGACGTACGAAACAAAGATATTAAATGAGTTATTTTCACAGGAGTTTAAGTCTAAAAAGCAATAAGGTTATCATCTGTTTTTCACATCTTTCAATTAGCGTTAAGTCTTAAGAACATAGAGTTATAATCCATTTTGCACTTTTAACCAGCATTGTTTTTTAGCCATAACAATAGATATGAGTATTTTAAGGCTAACTTGTAAAATAATTAATATATTATCTCACTAACACATTTATGCTAATATAAATTTGATGTTAGTATATATATTTATTCATTGAGAGAAGAGAAAATAACAGTTTATTCTTGTTCACCATATAATACTTAATCATTATTTTGTTATAAACTTTGTTGTCATATAATATCATTATTATTTATAAAAGTTATAGAAGTTGTACGTCTTCTTTTTTTTTTTATGTAATTTTAAATATTTAATGCACGTTAGTATTATTTATTTATGTAGTCAATTAAAATATGTAAATAGAGTTAAAATTAAATAGTGTATAAATATTTTACAAAACATAACAACATGTTTTTTTAGAATTTAATTTTGTATACTAATTAAACAACTATGATTTAGCAAATGCCAAAAACTCAATCCCTTCTATAATCAAATTTTTTCTAATTTGCATGATAATGATATATAGTTTATTTAGCATACTCTGCAATGAAATATTTAGAATAATTTCATTATAAAAAGAAATCAAAATAAAAACAATAATAAAAAAAATAACCATGAATACTAATAATATACAAATAATTCACCAACTTGATTTCGTTTGATTAATTGGAAGAAAAGAATTCACTTAACTTGTTATGATTTTCTATAAATATTTTTGGATAAAAGTGAATATTTGTGAAAAAAATGAATATTATTGCTAGAACTTAAAATATGTTGTAATATTTATTATAATGGATATCAATGAAATTATTGCAGATATTAATAAAATTATTTAAGGAAACAATATTTTTGATCATATCTGATTTGATCTTATTTCAAAACGTGTATATAAAAATAATTAATGCATATATTTAAAAAGTTTCTAAAAAAATGTATGCATTAAATTCTCCAAAAAAAATTTACTACTGTTTTTAGTAAATAGTTATACTTATTATTATATATATAAATTCACTGAATAAATAGAACTGGAAATAATAACAGACAGACAAAATACAATGAGTTAAGTCAGACTAATGAAGATGAGAAAGGATATCTCATATTTTCATTAAATGGGACACTCAAACAAAGATATGCAAGCCTGCAACATATGTTAGAGAGAATATCTTATATGAAATCTGAATATCCCAGTCAACTAGAAGAAAGAAATGCAAGTGGAAAACAAAATGAAAAATGATTAATCAGCTACCTTTTATTTTATCATTTAAACAAATTGAAATTCAAAATATGAGCCCCAACAAGCCTCAGAGTGCAGTCAATTTTGCTTTTTCTTTGGACATGAGTGAGTGTGAGTCTTCACGCATTATAACTTTTCTCCTTTCTCGTCACCCAAAAAACACAAACATAAAATAAAATGCAGAAACAAAGGCCCACAGGTTGAACAAACGGGTCCAATTTTCCCTTGAATATTATTTTAAGCAAACACTTTCTTAGAAAGATGATAAAGGGAATTCAAAAACAAATTAAAATAAACAAAGATTGACAGAGTTTTGGACACAGGATCCTGTGATACTCTTTAATCATGCTAGCTTCTTTTTATTGAGTCATGCTTAAGCTTCTGTACCATTTGATTAACAGTACAGTGGTCCAAAAACTCCAGATTATATATATATTATTAGAAGATTAACATTACATTCTTTATATTGAGATGATTTCACCTTACTACGTAATTCATTTTGCTGTTCTCATGTGTTTATAAAAACTTAGATTAGCATTAAATTTGAGTGTTCTTTTTCAGTTTAGTACATAAAAAGAAACAAAGTTATGGAGCTGATAAAGTGAATATGAAATTAAGACTATATTGACCACACTGTAGTATGAAGACCTTGAATAAAGTTCATTGTCATCACCACCCTTTTTGTTCTGTTTTTTTCTTTGTTTTTGTCTTTTGAAGAAAAGATGAACCCTTTTTTATGGGACTCTGTATACAGTGACTAGTGAACCTGTTGATGAAAGTTAAACTAAGTTACACTGGGTATAAATTTAATTAGCAGTGATTATGATTTATAATTAATACCACCATTTTACATGACACCATAGGTGATTCAGCAACAAACAAACAAGAAAGTAGTAGAAATCAAGAAATATAAAAAGAAGACATAAAAACCAGCTGGGCTATAATATTCCTAGGCAACACCAGATGCCGATTTGCGCACTACATATCGGTAGGCAGCCACTTTCCGGCAGCGGGAGGCCGTGTTATCGACGGATAGGACCAATTTTCCGGGTTGTGGGGCCGCAAACGAGTTGTGAACCGACTCATCGTCTGCTCCCATACGCCGCTGTTTCTCCACCACCATCGTGTAGCTGCTCTGCGCGTTCGGCACAAATTCCGCACTGTAATCCAATTCCCAGCCCCCAACAACTAGCTCCCATGCTATTGTTGAACCACCCTAAAATCAATTTATATAATACAAAATTTAATTGAAATTGTAAATTTCAATCGTGTAGCAGGTTTTTTCTTTTTCTTTTTTTTTTTTACCTCAATGCCCTCAATTTGAATGTTAACTTTTTCTCCTCCTTTGACTGTGAACTCGGATGCCGGTTTAGGTGGGCCGTTCAGTAAATCGTTGGGTCGACTCAGGCCACCGTACTGAACCGGGACATTCTCCGGGCTAATGAATCTGATTAAAGGCAAAACCAACAATTGAATGAAAGCTTCACAATTTGAGCTTTTGGACATAATATAATAATAATATTAAAGACAGGCACTTACTTGTACAGTGTCTCAGCTACATTTCCTTCCTTGGATATCACAAACTTACTCTTGGTCCTCTGAGTTAGAAACGGACTGAACATTGAATACACCAAGCTAAAGTACCACGGCACGTTTATAAAGATCTGCAATTAATCAATAACATATTAAATTAAATAGATATATATCTACTTAATTAATCAGCAAAAGGTTAACTCATCAAGATTCAACCTTTTTTGCAACCATCTCAGGATAATTGTCCTGAAACAGAGCAAGAATCTGGTTTGACGCAAGCCTGAGATCCCTCTTGGGCATATCCTTAAGATCTGTGACCTGAATAATGGAATTAACGCCGCCGGGCTTGAAATTCAGCATCTTGATCCCTTTCTCCAGAACCTGAACCCTCCACCGGAGGAACCGCCGGACCTTTTCCTCGTCCCCCAGAACCCTCTCATACAGACCCCTGTCCTTGAACACACCGTACGCGTTGTAGCAAACGGGCCGCCCTTCCCGGTCGAATCCGTGCATGTAGGCCACGGCGGTTTCGAGCTCGCCGTCGAAGCCCAGGTCCTCGTCGGCGATGGCTTCGGCTCCGAACTCCTTCCTCCAGGCCAGGCACTTGAGGAGCATGTTCAGGGCGTCCCCGACGCGGAAGTCTCGGGCGCGGAGAAATTTCAGAAGGATGACGTCAGCCCGGTCGTCGGAGAGAAGAGGGACGCCCCACATGGATGTGGGGCCGGTGGCGGCTGAGGAGAGCTTGTCTTTGAGGTCTTTCAGAGCCCTGCGCTCGGAGGTTTTGAGGTGGGAGATGAAGTAGCTGTCCTCCTTGAACGACGGCGCGCGGAGGGTCGCCGCCGCATCCATCAGAGAGCCCACGAAGCTTTTCCGGTAGGGTTTCGGGCAGTGGCCGCCGTCGTGTGGGGTTTGTTTGCTCGGCGGCATTGGAGATGATGCGGCGGCGGTTTCCATTTTTTGAGCAAGGAGTTATGATAATGATAAAGATCAATGGAGAAATGTATTGATTGTTGTTCTATGTGTATATAATAAAATTGGTGGTGTTATATTATATATATCAAAGTTTTGAATGTGAAAGGTGAAGAAGAAGAAGAAAAAAAGAAAATGGCTTTAAGCAGTAGATTCCTGACTCTGTTCAGCTCTGGAAACTGCATTATATATGCCATTTTTGTTTCTTTTGGTTTCTCGATTAAATATATATAATATAATATAATATAATATGGTTTTTACTTTTTGCTGTCTCTTTTTTGAATATTTGTATATTTGGTATTTGAAGTTACAATTAAGCATCATTTTCACGCATGGATGTAGAGTATACGTCAAGCGTCACTGACCTGACAGTATTTAGTGTGCTTATGTATCAAAATTCAAAAGAAACTAAAAGATGCCTTACTATATTCACAGATGTTCCTCGTCTAGAAAAATTTCACATCATCAAATTTACATGAAAGAAAAAAAAGGGTATAACCATTTTGATATACGACAATAAATTATATTGAAATCACGTTGAGATTTCAAGAGATTGATAAATTTAACTTCATCATTTATCTACATCGGCATTTCCTTTAATATTTCACTATATAACCTTCGTTTAATCGTTTCCTTTGATTTCCTATTAAAAAGGAAAAAAAAAATATAATAAATATCCTAACACTCGATTATCAGTAGTACTTTGTTTTAAGGATGCTTTACTTGATTGTTAAGCACATGCTTTGTTTATTTATTCATATATATATTTACCTTTTTTTTTATTTACTTGTTTCGAGCTATTGATATTTTATATAACCTGCTTAATTTTCTTTTGGCCATTATAATCTTTATCATAGATATAATTTTCTTTGCTCCCTTTCCAAACCGCATAAAAGCAAAGAATTAAAGTGCATAAATAAGTAACAGGCTAAACTATGACCATTCCCGTGTTTACTCAAACTAATTTATGTAAAAAGATTTATAGAATACATTACCATTAGTAATTATGTAGAATGTTTACTTTAAATTTTGAAATCTCATTTTATGTACTTAATTCCTTAATTTACAATTACAATATTGTCTAGTAACACAGTTTATAATTTAACTAAATATATTTTACCCAAAATTGTAAATTTATGAGATCGTTAAAAAAGGTTTTAGCTAAAGGTTGTGATCACGTATTTCCCGAGTCCAACAGCATGAAACCCCGTGAAAATACCAACAACAACAACATATGACTCCTTTTTCCCACTTTTTGACTTAATTAGCATTCGTTTTTGAATAAGACTCGCACTTTTAAAACTTGAATGATGAAATGAAAAAACCCATGATTTGGAGGTTCATAATAGACTTACGACTTATTGATATACTATAAGATTTTATTTCAGTTTAAGGGAAACAAATTGTAGTTTTTCAAGACGTAGCTTTACATTTTTAATGGTCATTTGCAGTCAAGGTGTGACGATACTCCGAAAATCTTAAAGGATCAACAATTTTTACAGTAAACACTAAGCTAAAGTAAAAATATTTTTCACTTATCATCTCAATATTATTATTTTATTGCAAAGCCCTTCTAGCCCACCTTTAATATATAGATATGTGTCTTGTATATAACGTGTACAAATATTTTGTTGGATTGAATATCTGTAGGGAATTTTCCCAGGAAAATAAAATAAAATGGCTATTTATATAATATCAAGACATGTGAAAACACAGTGTCCTTAGTTAAAACAAATTCGCCTTGTATGAGCGTTTGTTTTCCAGAATTTGTTTTCCAGAATACTACGGAAAAACCAAATCAAATCTGGCGAACTGAAATTATTCATGAACCAAAATACTATAAAAAAAATGAGGAAAGCCTATAATAACTCTTGTATTTTAACTTTTTCTTGTGTGTTCTTCTCAAAGGAAGACACCACTATTTATACAAGCAGAAGCATGACTCACATTCAATAAATTATGCATTTAACAAAGTGAAGGTTATAACTCTTACAATATTAAAAAACAAGTTACAAATTAAATTTGCAAGATGTTAAAAAATTAATGTTATGTTACACAATGGAAGACTCAAGCATATAAACAGAATAATTAATATTTTTATTAATTGTCATCTCATTGAGCTTAAAAAGCCCATTACATTCATAACACTTCCCTACAAATGCTTTATTTTTGGTCAAAATGACCTTATCAGATTCAAACACTACACGAAATCCATGTTTGATCAACAAGGAACCAGACACTAGGTTTTTACATATTTCTGGTACATAAAGAACATTATTAAGAGTCAATTTTTTTTTTTTTTTTTTTTTTTTNTTTTTTTTTTTTTTTTTTTTTTTTTTTGCAGATGTCATCTTTAGTACCACTTTTTTCACTTCTTTGATGTCAGACGTGACAGAATTCCCCATGAAGAGTTTCTCTCCATCCACCATCTCGTCAAGGACATTAAAGAAATCCTTATTTGAGCAAACATGACAGGTAGCACCCGTGCCAATCCACCATTCATGTGGATTCGAGCCAACCAGATTCACCTCAGATATAACTGCAGCGAGGTGCATCTCGTCAACATCCTTGGCCAAATTTTTCACCATGTTGGCTTCTTGATTTTTCTTTGGCAACCTGCAATCAGATGTCTTATGGCCAGATTTTATTACAATTAAAACAATTTCCAGAAAAAATTTTCTTCAAAATTTGTTTGTTTGGCCCCAGTACTGCTTTGCCAATACTGCCATATTTTTTCTTTTATTTTTTCGTAAGCTTTCACCATGCTCAACAACATTGGCATTTGCTAAAGAAGGATTAACCAATTTGTTGTTGTAGCCCTTGTTGTATTCTTCAATTCGAAGTCTAATAACGAGTTCTTCGACAGTCATCTTTTTTTCTTATGTAATAAATAATTTTTAAAATCTTTCCAGCTCGGTAGAAACTTTTCAATTATGGCAGCCACCTGGAAAGTTTCATTTACCACCATTCCCTCGGATTGGATATCATGCAAGATTATGTGAAGCTCTTGCACTTGACTGATTACAGTCTTCGAGTCAACCATCTTGGAGTCCGGAAACCGGCCTACAAAAATTTTTTTTGCCCCAACGTCTTCGATTTTGCATTTTTTATCCAAAGACTCCCACAACTCCTTCGTTGTTTTGATAGAACTGTACACGTTGTACAGTGTATTAGTTAAACGGTTCATCACATAATTTCTACATATGAAAATCGAGTGATTTCATGCTTCAAGCGCACTAACCTCTTGAATACCTAGATTTTCCCCCAATTTTGGAGGATTTTCCATCAAGAACCTCACTAGGTTCAACATAGTAAGATAAAACAACATCTTTTGCTGCCAACGCTTGAAATTCAAACCGTTAAATTTTTCCGGTTTATCATGGTGATTCCACAAAACATTAACAGAAGAAGAAAGAAATTGCAGCAGCAGCAACAACAGTAGCACCGGTATTAGCAGAAACACCAATAACATTTTGTTCAGTAGCCATCTTTAATGCGATATGTTTTAAAATTGTAGGGAATTTTTTCGGGAAAATAAAAATAAGAGGACTATTTATATAATACCGAGCCCTATGAGAACACATTGTCCTTTAAATAGATTCGCCCCGAATGAGTGTCTATTTCCCAGGATACAACGGAAAAACCGAATCAAATCTGGCGAACTGAAATTATGCCTGGACCAAAACATTATAAAGAAAAATAGAGAAAATCTTTAAGAACTCTTGTATTTTAACTTTTTTCTCGTGTGTTCTTCTCAAAGGAAGATACCACTATTTATACAAGCATAAGCATGGCTCACATTCAATAACTTATGCATTTAACAAAGTGAAGGTTATAACGTAACTCTTGCAACATTAAAAAACAAGTTATAGATTAAATTTACAAGACATTAAAAAATTCATGTTATGTGACAAGTTGTAGGAATTTATAATCACATAATATAAATTCAATAACAATTAACCTAGAACATACTTTAATTCTAGAAAAATCAACATCGCGCTAGATTATAATTAAAGATTATAAGGAATACCTGGATCCATTGAGATTGAGTTTCTATATGCGGAATACCTTATCATCAATCTCCGGATCCCATCTCCATGAACACGATCTGGATCACGAACGGGGTCGGTTTTATGGTCTTCCTCAACTAAATCGCCTTATTCCTCATATGGGACCGTCATTCTCAATTCAGATGGAGAGAAAAGAGAACTATGTTTGATTTAGTATATTGGGGACCATAACCAAGAGAGTCTTTATATTCTACTAGGGTAGGCCACCCATTATCACCTAACCCTAATAATATTAGGTATCCACTCAATCAGCCCATATCAATTTACCTAGCCCATGGACTCTACTTTATTTAGATCACTTAATTGAGTCTATTAATTAATTGAATAGCTAATATAATTGTATATAATATGTTGCCCATAATTAGATTATATATAGGAAATAAAATATTTCCTAACAATCTCCCACTTGGGCTACCTATTATTTCCAGAGCAATTATATTAATTCCTTAGTTGCGCATCTTTATGCTATTCATTCAGACGACCTTAAACAATCTGGTCCATCTCATATATTAGCAATGGAACTACCGCGGCTTTCACCACATTTCAAATCGTGGTTAAACCCCGAAAATCACCAAACTAGTATACTCAATGACATAGATCAGATATGGTGAGTGGCATGGAAATTACATGCAATGTGATCTTTAACATGTCTATTTCCAACTGGTCCAACTTTAAATCCTTAGTGAGATCAATCCATAAATGCAACATAAAGTCACAAAAATAGAAAACCTTAGTGATTCATAATGAATCATAACCATCAACTTTATTCTGCAGAAAACTGAAGTTATAACATTCAAGAATACATTGAACACTAACTCCCACTGAACTAAGGCAATATCCATAGTAATACTTATATGAGCGATATACTCATAAAATTCTTCAAGTGTTAATACCTTAATATACCTTATAATGGAGCTATGAATTTGCTAGCATAAATTCATCCTTATATGTTCAATAAAAATTCATCAACGTGAATTTTATCCTCAGCAACAACAAGAAACTTTATGAACAACTATTGTTATTGAAAAAAGGCAAACTAATATTATCACAATAGAACTTTAGTGGTATTCAATACCATTCGCAACATGCAGCCTTGTGATAATATTATGCAACCATAA